TGCCGTGTCCCCTCCCTTCTTCTTTTTTTCCTCTTAAAAAAAAAAAAAAAGTTGAGATGTTGATATGTATCAGATGTATCTCTGCTTTTTTAGCAACTAAACATGTTTATTCCTTTCTGCACCGGGAGGTTTGGCTGGTAGATCCCTCAGGCTCAAAGCAACTTGTGGGGCTGGGTGGATGTGAGGCCAGTAGAGCTGCGCTGGTTTGAGTTGCTGCCCTCTGTTCCTGCAGGAAGCAGCAGCTCCGCAGGCAGCTCTGTGAGCCCACTGATGGCACTGGAGCTGCTTCCATAGTGCTAGGGGCAGATACTGGCCCAGTGCAGCCCCAGCCTCCTCGGATAATTTGTGTCTGTGTGTGTGAAGGCTGTTCGATGTCGTCTGATACATAGTTTTAGATGGGGACATATGTGCTTTTAGGATATTGTTCTTTTTCTGCTTGGTTGCTTGTTTATTATGGAATTACTTTTTATGCCTCTAATTGTGGCATCAATCATGCAATGAGTAATTTCCTCTGCAGGTGCCACTCTCTAAAGTTTACTGTGGACTTGATCCCATAATTCTGTTGACTTTCAAAGGTTAGCCAGATGCATTCCTCATTGCCTCTGTCAACAACCTAAAACTAATATTTGTATTCTTTTTGCAAAGAAATCGCTGAAAGTCCTAGGTTTGTAAAATGACACTTTGGGAGATTCTTCTTTTCAGGTGGTTGTATTAAAAAAATAATCAAATGATGGCATTACACTGGCAGCACTCCTTTTACTGTAAGTAGTCATGACGTGCAGCAGGGCCTCAGGGGAGCGAGCTGTGTTCTTCCTTGTGTTTGCAGGCTTGAGGTCCTTACTTGCTTCTGGAAAATGAAAGTGGTATTAACTGAGCTGGCTGAATTTACTGTGAGGCATCATCTGACAAGCCACTCCTGGTTCTTCCAGGAGCTGGGGGACAGCTAATGTGGTGAAGTAGCTCATAAATGCCGTTTCCGTGTCCTGTGAGGACTTGCAGAAAAAACAGACAGTTAGCTTGTGACCTTAAAGAAAAACATTTGGATTAAGGCAGGTGATTGCGTGGTCGCTGTCTGTCTGAACCAGTAGCTCTTTATCTGGTAGCAGAAGATAAGAACTCATCTTGGAGTGAGAAGCTTGGAGAAGCTGTTTCATTAGACTAGCTGAAGAAGAGTGTGTTAATAACAGAAACATAGGTGACTTCAGCCGTTCCTTTCTCAATCTAATGATTTATGAAGTTTAAGTGGATGAAATCTCAGGTAGGAATGAAGACCTTTGTTTTCTTAAGTAACATGAGCTGGATCATTCCAGCATCGTTTTCATGTTTGGTGAAGGTGTGAACTTTGAAACTCTGCTGTGAAGTTGATCAAAACTGTCTGTATGCTGCATGTCTTGAGATACTTGAAAGATTAAAGGTTTTTAAGGGTAGGATTTAAAAATAACTTTGACAAGTACTGAACTCCATTTGATGTTAATTTGGAGAAGTTTGCTGTTTGGGAATTGAAAGGGCAGAGTTTGGCAATGTGTGATTAGTCCAGGAAAATCTCGGCTGCCTGCTTTCCCTGGCTTATCTGATACAGTCTTCAAAAAAAAAGACAGGAAGCTCAGACAGAAGCACTCCACAGGGTTATCTCTAGATGTTGCAAAATACCTGCAGATCATCTGCTAAAATGACCTGCCAGTTAACTGAAAAAATGTGTCTGTGGAGTAGCCATTAACCTCTCAACCCGGACAAACACAGAAGTCCTGCCCTACTAACAGCTGCTCTTCAGGTTGGGGAAGGTTTGGAGCTCTCTCTGGAACTCGGGGAATTTGATCTATATATGAGTCGGAAGTAACAGTGCTACTGAAGATCTTCCAGCTAGCGGTGGGGTTGTGCTGCGGGGGCGTGTGCCTCTGTGCAGTGCTCCTGAGCAGCTGCACTACTTAACTGAATTACTCTAAGACTTTGATACTTGGCTAAAATCAGCATTCTCTAATTTGACTTGGGGATTATTCAAATAAGAACAGTATTTTTGGCCTTCTGCTAATAAACAGCGAACTTTATGAATCAGGAAAACCAAGCAAGTGGAGATAATTGTTTTCCTAGAGCCTGAGAATGGCACATCGACATTGCAAACTTGCTCTTATAGCATAAACCTGATCAGAAGCTGCGTGGGCAGCCCTGGGCAGGCTCGGCGTGTGCTGGGTGCTGCCTTTGCCCTGGTGCCAGGCTACCTGCTGAGCCGTGCCCCTGCAGCCTGACGGAGGAGGCTGGGGTGTGGGTGGTGTGCAGATTAGCATTTTGCTTTGGATTGGAGCTTTTGATGTCAGCCTCTTTTGAAGTGAATCTCTCTCTGCCCCTTTGCCTGATGCGCAGAGCTGTCTGAGTGAACCGAACCCCTCCAGAGATCCCTTGAAAAGGCACGCTCTCCTTTTTCCCTTGTACCTTCAAGGCTTTCCTACAGAGGGGCAGAGCTTGTCTTTATATCCCCAAGCCTGCACGTTGTGTTGCTATGTTTATGTTGTTTTAACAACTGTGGTGAAATCTGTACCCTAGTGAAGTCCTGCCCTTGCTTTCCAATGGGGCAGGATTTTCCTCTGGGCTTCTGAAACTGTTGATTAAGAGTCAGTCAGTCTGTGATTTTGTAGTGTTACTGACAAATATGTGACTTAAATTGACAGGATTGTTAAGAACGATTGCTTTTTATCCACAGTGATATTCACAGTAACATTAAATTGGGATTTATCTGGTTAAACATTGGTTGAGTCACATTGCATTCACCCATGTTAAACATTATACTGTGGTCCCCACTGGTGCTGAGGGGGGAAGGCTGGTGCTAGTCTCAACTTTGCACAAATGTCACACAAGTTTCCCTGGGTATCACATTGCAAATGCTGCTAGCACCTGCTTGGCTGTGCTGCCACAAGCAGTCCCACTTATCATCAACGACAGCTCAATGGGGTACAATAGATGTGTGTGCAGACTCCTCAGGGAACCCAGCCTAATTCACCAGTGCAGACAAAACCCAACCCGACTGGATGGTGCAGCTTTTGAGTGGCCCAGATAAATGTAAAATTTCGTTATGCAACATAGAATATACAATTTTGGGAAGGTAGGGCTCCTCTCGCAGGGAGGGATAGACACCCGAGCATTTCTGAGGGTACCCAAGTTCAAGTATCGCCTTTTACATTTCTTTGGCTTTTAATCTCCGGTGGCTTTCAGTGAGGTTATTGGCTATCAGCAAATGCAAATTGAGATAGAGCTCATTTGTGTTGCAGTAAACTTTTGGGATTTTTAGTCAAGGCTTGGTAAAGGATCTTCATTATTATTGTAATTTAAAAGTCATTATGCTAACGATCCTGGATCTCGGCTCTGTGCCTTCTCCATACAAATGTAACAGATGATGAAATACTTTGGTTTAGCCCTTCTGATAAAGGCAAGGCTGAAGCTGTGCCTGGGATGCTAGGCATTGGGGGTTGTTTGCATGAAGATTTGGGATTGAAGGGAAAAAGGAAACTTGAGGGAAAAGGTGTTTCTTTAAGCTCAGGGGCACCTATGGGTGCAGAGGGTGAGCATGGGATGACCACCCAGGGTGTGGGCCAAGTGCCGCAGGAGCATCAGGGTGCACGCTGCCCTTGTGCCCCTGCCTCTGGGAAGCACAGTGGATGGGGCTGCTGGGGCTTCATGAGTTTTGGGAGGCAGATCCGCAGGGCAGCTGGTTGTTGCAGGAGTGATGACTCTGGCTGCCTGGCAGGACCTGCTTTCAGGGTCAGCAAGGGGGAATTAGCACCTGAACTGCTCTCCTGCCCCCTACTCCAGGAAGACACATTCTCATAGGTGACTGTGGTGAGGTCCCTGTGGGTTATACCAAGTGCAGCTTCCTTCCTCCCTCCTTTGGGGTGGAAGGAGGTGTGTCAGCACGGAGTGTGGCTGCAGGGCTTTTCCACGCTGGCATCCCCAGAGACCTGGGGCACTTGCACTTCAGGCACACATTCTGCACTAAGGCGAGGGGAGAGAAGGCAGCATCTGGAAAGCTGAAAAGACCAGGGAGGCAGTGATGACAGACCTCGCTTAGAAAGATGCTGTGGTACCACAAGCTGCAGGGTTGTAACTCCAGTCATTACTTGGTCTATTAAGTGGGACTGAAGTGAAGGATGACTGCTGATGGTTGCTAGAAGCAGTTTTGAACATTTACATTTATCTTCTTTAAAACAGCTAATGGAGAGTGGTGGCCATCAGTTTAGAGTAGCTTCTGAATAAACCATAGCTAACTAAATCCTTTATTGTGTCCACATCAGCTGTGTGTTCTGACCAGTTGTGCAGGTGAGGTGCATGTCAGCTGTGCATCCCTCCAGCCTGCAGGAATGGGACCTTCCCTCTCCAGCTGTGTGATCTGTTCCAGCCGATAAAAAGCTGTGGCTGCCTTGTTGCCTTCCTATGGGGCTTCCGTCCACTTCATCCCTGGATTTCATAGGAGTGGCATGTTTTTTGTTTCAAAAGACAGGAAAACGTCTATGGCTATGAGGGGAAAATATTTGGTGGAAGGATGACTGACAAAGTAACTTTTTACTGAGATAAAAGATATACTCTGCATGTAAATAAATAAATAGGGAGTTAGCTGCAGCTCAGGCTACTGTAAATAAG